AGGGAGCCCGACGCGGGACTCGATCCCGGGACTCCAGGATCATGACCCGAGCCGAAGGCAGTCGCTTAACCAACTGAGCCGCCCAGGCGCCCTCTCCCATGGTTTTAATTGGTTGAAGTAGGATGGTAACTCTGAACTCTGGTTCCATCATAGCAATAAGTGACAGTCTAATGATGTTTTTACAATTAATTTCATATTTTAATTATCTTATTTTAAAAATTAATCTTTACATCTTCACATATATAACATATTATTTTGCATACATGAACTGTTTCATAATTTTAAAAATCGTGACCCACAAGCTGTAAGGGCTTGTGGAGGTCAAGCAGGGAAATAATATAAAAAACAAAATAAAAATCATTATAATCTCACCTCCAGAGAAAATTACTATTAGTAATTTGAGGCACTAAGTTGTCCCAATTTTTTCTCCATGCATATTAATTTTTAAACTCAGAATTATTTTGCACAATGCTGTTTTTTAAATTTGTTTGTTGTGGTAAATATATGTAATATGAAATTTACCATTTTAACCATGTTTAAGTATACAATTAAGTGGCATTAAGTCCATTCATAATGTTGTACAACCATTACCACTATCTATTTTCAGAAGTTTTTCATCATCCCAAACAGAAACCCTCTTTAAAAAATGTATTTATTTATTTATTTTAGAGAGAGAGCGCACGAGCAGGAGGGGAGGTGGAGGAAAGAGAGCCTCAAGCAGACTCTTTGCTGAGCGCGCAGAACCCTGCTTGAGGCTCGATCTTACAACCTTGAGATTCTAACCCGAGCAGAAACCAAGAGTCCAGGGCTTAACCGACTGTGCCACCCAGGCCCCACTCCTTTTTTTTTTTTTTTTAAGATTTTATTTTTAAGTATCTGCATCCAACACAGGGCTCGAACCCACAACCCCAAGATCAAGAGTTGCATGCTCCACTGACTGAGCCCACCAGGTGCCCCCAGACACCCTAACTCTTAAACACTAACTCCCCCTTCCCCTACCACCCCACACCCAGTAACATGTATTTTCCTTGCCATGTCTATGAATTTGCCTATTTTAGGCACCTCATATAAGTGGGATCATACAAAATTTGTCCTTTTCTGTATGGCTTATTTCACTTAGCATAATATTTTCAAGGTCCAGCCCTGTTGTTGCATGCATCAGAATTTTATTCCTTTTTAAGGCTGATTACTATTCTCCATTTTGTGTATATACCACATTTTGTTTACCTGTTCATCTGTTAATGGACTCTTGGGTTGCTTCCACATTTTGGCTAATGTGAATAATGCTGATTTCCAGATATCTGTTTGAGTCCCTGTTTTCAACTATTTTGGGTATATGCCTAGGAATAGAATTGATGGATCATATGGTAGTTCTATTTTTAATATTTTGAGGAACTACCAGACTGTTTTCCATGGTGGCTGCACCATTTTACATTCCCACCAGCAATAAACAAGGTCTCTAATTTCTCCACATACTCATCAACACTTGTTATTTTCTACTTTTTTAAAATAGCCATCCTAATGGGTGTAAAATATTATCTTATTGTGGTTTTGATTTGCATTTCCCTCATGACTGATGATATTTAGTATCTGTTCATGTGTTAATTGACTGTGGATCTTCTTTGGAGAAATATCTGTTCAAGCCCTTTGCCCACTTTTGAATTATCAGTTTTGTCATTGTTGTTGGAGTTCTTTGTATATTCTGGATATTAATCCCTTGTCATATATATTATTAGCAAATATTTTCTTCCATTCTTTTGGTTGTCTTTTCATTCTGTTGCTAGTGTTCTTTGATAAACAAAAGTTTTTAATTTTAATGAACTCCAATTTATTTTTTCTTTTGTTGCCTGTGTTTTTGGAATTGTATTCAAGAAATCACTGCCAAACACAATGTCATGAAGATGTTCCCCCCATGTTTTCTTCTAAGGGTTTTACAGTTTTAGCTTTTATTTTTAAGTCTGATCCATTTTGAGTTAATTTTTGTATGCAGTATAAGGTAGGGTCCAACTTCATTCTTTTGCACGTGGATAGCCAGTCTTCCAGTACTATTTGCTGAAAAGACTGTCCTTTCCTATTTAATGGTCTTGGGAAAATTCAATTAACTGTAGATATGAGAGCTATTTCTGGACTCTCTATTCTATGCCATTGTCTATATGTCTGTCGTATGCCAATACCAGATAGTTTTCACTAGTGTAGCTTCGCAGTAAGTTTTGAGTGTGAGTCCTCCAACTTCGTTCTTCTTTTTAAAAAAAGATTGTTTTGGATACTCAGGGTCCCTTGAGATTTCATGTGAATATTAGGATGGATTTTTCCATTTCCACAAAAAACATCATTGTGATTTGATAGGGATTGCATTGAATGTGTTGATTGCTTTGGGTAGTATTGTCATCCTAATGATATTAAGTCTTCCAATCCATGACTACTGGATGTCTTTCTACTTATTTATGTCTTCTTTAATTTCTTTCAGAAATGTTTTACAGTGTTCAGTGTACTTTTTGTTCACCTCCTTGCTTAAATTTATTCCTAAGTAGTTTATTTTTTTGATACTATTGTAAATGGAATTGTTTTCTTAACTTCCTTTTCAGATTGTTCATTGCTAGTATATAGAAATGCAGCTGATTTTTATGTTGAACTTACATCCTGCAATTTTGCTGAATTTGTGTATCAGCATTCACAGGGGTTTTTGTTATTGTTCTTGTTGTTGTTGTAGAATTTTTCGGGTTTCCTACATGTAAGATGATGTTATCTGTAATCACAGATAATTTGACTTACTTTCCAATTCAAATACATTTTTCCCCCATTTTCTTGCCTAATTGCTCTAGCTAGAACTTCTAGTCATATGTTCAATAGAAGTGGTGAAAGTGGCCTTATTCCTGATGTCAAGGGAAAAGCTTTCAGTCTTTCACCATTAAGTATGATCTTAGCTGGGGAATTTTCATACATAGCCTTTAGTATGTTGAGGAAGTTCCTTTTTATTCCTAGTTTGATTATAGTTTTTTTTTTTATCATGAAAGAGTATTGAATCTTGTCAATTTTTTCCATCAATTGAGATGATCATGTGGTCTTTTTTCCCTTCATTCTCTTAATGTGTCATATAACAATGGTTGATTTTCATATGTTGAACCATCTTTGAATTCCAGGGATAGATTGCAGTTGGTCATAATGCATAATTCTTTAAATATGCTGCTGAATTCAGTTTGCTAGAATTTCATAATGCTGTTTAAAGACATGCCTTTTCATTTATCAGTATATTTTTCTTCCACATCATGAAATATTCTATTACTTTGTATTTTTAAAATCTTTTTTAGCTTACAAAGTCCTTTCTTTTTTCCTGATAAAATCTTACACAAACTCACAATATTTAAAGTACAGGACAGTGGAGCTTATCTGATGAACACGGGTTTCTGGAGGCCAGAGCTTATCTACATGCTCTCCAATTCTTCCACTTCTGTGCCATCTCCCACAGTCACCTTCTGAAGGGACCCCAAAAGGAACAATTTGAAAACCTTTGGTATGACTTTTCATCACTGCATTGTACTCTGTCATATGAAGACTTCATAATTTCATTAACTACTCTATTATTTTTACACATATATATTACTTCCAATTTTTTGAGATTTTAAAGAAGAAATGAAACTATTTGTAGATAAACCACTGGCCACATCCATAATCATTTACCTTTAGGGTAAATTCCCCAGAAAAGGAATATTGGGACAAATGTCAAAATTAAAAAAAATTATTTTAAACCTGTAGAGTTAACATACAGTGTCATATTAGTTTCAGGTGTACAATATAGTGATTCAACAATGCTATACATTACTCAGTGCTCCTCATGATAAGTGTGCTCTGAATCCCCACCACCTATTTCACCCAACCCCCACCCGCCTCCCCTCTGGTAACCGTCAGTGTGTTCTCTATAGTTAACAGTTTGGCTTTTTGTTTGTCTCTTTTTTCCTTTGTTTGTTTCTTTTGTTACTTCAAGTCCATATATGAGTGAAATCATGGTATTTGTCTTTTTCCAACTGACTTATTTCACTTAGCATTCTACTCTCTGATCCATCCATGTTGTTGCAAATGGCAAGATTTCATTCTTTCTAATGGCTGAGTAGTATTCCATTGTGTATATATACACCACATCTTCTTCATCCATCAATGGACACTGTGGCTGCTTCCATAATTTGGCTATTGTAAATAACACTACAGTAAACATAAGGGTGCATATATCTTTTTAAATTAGGGTTTTTGTATTCTTTGGGTAAATACCCAGTAGTGGAATTACTGGATCCTAGGGTAGTTCTATTTTTAATTTTTTGAGGAACTCCAAACTGTTTTCCACAGTGGCTGCACCAGTTTGCATTCCCACCAACAGTGTATGAGGGTTCCTATTTCTCCACATCCAGATGTCAAAATTTTAAAAGATTGTTAAGGATTTTGATTCTTATTCTCATACTGCCAAGGAACAAAGTAGTAATTTATCCTCCAGTCATCAGTGTTTAACTTGTGTACGTAAAATAATATCTCTGAAGACTCATCTGACAGTATGTGTGTTGAAATTTAATATCATTTTCTGACCTCTGATTGATATACAGAGCAGGAATTGAGGTAAATAGAATCTCAGATTAATAAATTCCAACACCCAGCACCAGGTCCAAAGGTTTTTTTTTTTTTAACCTGGTTCCATGGATGGACCTGTAGGAATCAATGAATTGCTGAAATTTTCGGCAAAATTTGGAGTATGTGAATGTTGCTTTTGTCTATGGAGTGGGTCTAGAGTTTTCATCAAATCTAAGAACAGCAATTTCCCCTTCTTTTTAAACAACAACAAGTTAAACTGGAGGCCACCAGGAAAATAGCTCATTGGAAGCCAGGACTGTTTTGCCCCTGCCTTCACCATACTGGACTTTTAGAACAACTTGGATTATGGTTGTAAAGTACACTCCTGTCCCAGGGACAAAAAGTCAGTACCCGTGATACCTGAGTATTTGTATACTCACCAGGAATGTATTGCATAAAATCATAGAATGGCAAAAGATGGAGAAAACCTGAGAGATATGTAGCCCACATGAAGATGGCAAGGCCCAGGTGAGAAGCAGCCACTCAAGATTGCATTGCTGATGGTTAAGGAAACAGATCCAGATCTCGGTGATCCAGATGCTTTCGGGAAGGCGTCTTCTGAATATCTATGTAAGGTTAACCTTGATTTCAATATTTATCAGTGAAAACCCCTACAACATTTAAATTACTTTCCCTGCCTAAATCCAGCAAAATGAATCTTTTATTCTAATGGAGGATCTTGCAAGATGGAGAGGTTGTTATTCTAAACATTCATTCTTGTGTCCTGGAGGAGTTTCTGCATCTTGCCTCCTTCCTTTCCCGGGGGGTCCTTGAAGACCAACCTGAGATTTTCCATAAACAAACCCCCCCCCCTACACCCCCCACACAACCCCCACCCCAACATATCAGCCCAGCCAGGCTCCCAATTTTCTGCCCAGTCACTTCTAGTCTTCTCTGACATCACATTCTCTCCGAACCTTGCTCCACATTGTCTGAGGTCTGTGAGCACTAGAATCTTGTAGACCTCGTTATATTTCAGAACTGATTCACAGCCTTGGGAAAAATCTAGCTTTTTTCTCTTCTGTGTTCACAGCAGACTTTTGTTGCTCTTAGTTTCTCACACGGGGGAAACCCCAAGAGCCTGTCTGCTGCCTCTTCCTCAAATTCCCCAGGGGAACTGACAATCCCCTGAACTACTTCAGGATCCTTCTCTGACCCTAGGATGGTTCATGGAATTTTTTTAAAAGATTTTATTTATTTATTTGAGAGAGAATAAGTGCGGGGGGATGGAGGGGACAAGCAGACTCCTTGCTGAGTGGGGAGCCCAACACAGGGTTTGATCCCAGGACCCTGAGATCATGACCTGAGCTGAAGGCAGATGGTTAACCAACTGAGCCACCCAGGTGCCACGGTTCATGGAAGTTCTAAGAGCAAGTTTATGAGGAAAAAAGTGTATGCCTGTATGTATATACACGAAATAGAGAATGGAAATAAAGTAAAATGTATTAATCTTAGAGGAATTAAATAGATATATATATGATAATATATATCTCCATTGCACATATGAGGACATAGAATATTTTCAGTTCCTAAAATGCTTCCTCCTGCTCTCTCCCAACCAAAGTGCCTGTCAGGGACTTACTACGAGGAACTCTCTGGCCAGAGATTAGTTCTTTCTGTTCTTGAAGCCTGTGTGGAACCAGACCGTATGTGCTCTTCTGCATCTGGCTTCTGCATTGACTCAACATTATGTCCATCAGCTTCATCCATGTTGTTAGATTTTACTCTACAATCTACCACTTTTCCCCAGGAGTCAAAAAATGGCAAAAACTCCAGGTAATTAAAAGTATGAGGTTTTAGGATCAGGATAATCAATATATTTTTTAAAGATTTGATTTTTTATTTGATAGAGAGCACAAGCAGGGGGAACGGGAGAGGGAGCAGCAGACTCCCCACTGAGCAGGGAGCCCGCTGCGGGGCTCGATCCCAGGACCTTGGGATCGTGACTGGAGCTGAAGGCAGACGCTTAACCGACTGAGCCACCCAGGCGCCCCAGGCTAGTCAATATTTATATTTGTCATATTTTGTCCCAAGTAGGCACAACTGCTTTAAGGATATAAACAGAAAATTCACAATGAATTAACAGGCATTTAAGAAAATGTTCGGGGCACCTGGGTGGCTCAGTCGTTTGAGCGTCTGCCTTCCGCTCGGGTTGTGATCCTGGAGTCCTGGGATGAGCCCCGCCAGGTTCTCTGCTCAGCGGGGAGTCTGCTTCTCCCTCTCCCTCTGTCTGCCGCTCCCCCTGCTTGTGCTCACGTGCTCTCTCTCACTCTCTCTCTCCCCCCCTCTGACAAATAAATAAATAAAATTTTTTTTAAAAAAAATGTTCAATCTCACTAGTAATCTAAGAAATATAAGTTAAAAGAAAAGGCCACTTTCTTCTTCAAATAATTAAGTTATTTTTAAAATGATAATATTTGATGTTAGCAAAAGTTCAGGAAAATAGAATACTCTCAGTGAGACTATAAATTAGTACAATTCTTAGGGAATAAATTCAAGAGCCTTTTACAATCTTCATTCCCTTTTAATATTTCCCCATAGTGACTCTAACATAGGAAATAATCTTAAATATGGAAAAAACCTTGTGAACAATGTTCACGCAGCATCATAAATAATCTGAAAAATAAGAAACAATCGAAATAGTCAGCACTTGGGGAATGATTATAAAAAAGGTGACAGGTTCGCTTAGTAGAATATTATATTACCTTAAAGGACCAGCAGCCAGAACATCTAGGTAGCTAGTCGGCAAAGAGAGCCAGTTGGAGAAGTTTAGCCACTCTTCTTTCAGCTTGTCTGGGCAACATTGGCTGTTCCATTTCTCATGCATTACAAAGCTGAAAGCTCTGGAATCCAAGAATTTGTTTATAATCAAACAATGGATTTATTAGGCTTTTAGAAATTAATTAAAAGATGAAAAGCATTGTATTGTGGTAGGAGAATAAATGACTCAGTTTCTAGCACGTTTCTTGGCCAAAGAGGGTGCTAATAATTATTATCATAGTCATAACTAATATTTTCTTTGGTGCTATTTGGGGGCTTTGCTAAGTACTTTATACTATCTCACTTTCTTCTCATTTGATACATTTTGCCAGGCCTGCCCAGTACTTTATACTATCTCACTTTCTTCTCATTTGATACATTTTGCCAGGCCTGCCCAAACACGGTGTTGCAACTTGCTTTCCCCCCATTATGCTTGCCAGTGGGTGTGATGCTGAGGGGTGGTAACTTCTGAGTTCTAGTCTGTGCATCCTAGCGGCCAGGTCCTGGGTTTTACTGCGCTTCCTAGCTTTAACAAGCAGCCGTGCCCAGGCAATAGGTGGAGGAGCTGGTTTTGCAGAGTCAACGCTCTGCTCACCCACCCAGGCGAGATCCCCACACACAAGCAAAGGGGCCCGTGGCGTGCTCGCTGAGGCTCAGAGCCGAGTTGGCCCTTCCGGCCCTGCGGTGCCCCCTGCAGGGGCCGCTGAGCCCCTTAATGCAGTCCCGGAACGGGGGGTGGGGGGTGGGGTCGGGGGAGCGACGGGGGCAGGCCCGGGAAGGCCGGGTGGGTTGGCTTCAGCGAACTTGAAAATCAGAAGTCCCTGGGAAGCAAAGAAGATGCAAATTCTTCCGCTGGGCACTGGCCTTTGACAAGCCCTCTTTCCCCCTCCCCCGCCCCGCAGACGTGCAGCTTCCAGGCCCACAGATTCCCTCCAGGTTTGCCCCCCTTGCGAGCCAAACAAGGACAAAGGAGAATTCTGTCTTGTCAGTCACACTTCTCGGGAGGAGCGCTGGCAGGACTCTCTGCCCTCCTGTCAAGGGTGTGGCGGAGTCAGTCTCCGTGTGGCTCGGGGTTTAGAACACCCCGCAGGAGCCAGCCCCGGGGGGCCACCTGAAATCCCAGGCATTCTCTTTCACTCCACCTCTTTCCTCGCGCCTTTTTACATTTTAACTTTTTTTCATGAGGAAAGAAACACGCGTCCCATAGTCTAAAAACGAAACACCGCTAGCATTGGAAAGGAAGGCAAGAGTCCTTGCTGCTTGCTTTTGGCTTCTAATCCTACTCTTTTCACTTGTTTTGTTTCGTTTGTTGTTGTTGTTTTTCCTGGTATTTACTCTGCATTCCTAAAAAAGCAGCCTGCTCCGTGATTTCTCCACGTTTCAGTCTTAGTCATTGACTGTTGCCTTTGGAGGATGGAAGATGGAGATCCGGAGCCCACGCGCGCAGATTTTGATTCAGTCAATGGGGTTTCCACGATCGTGCCCTCTAATTCACAGCTGAGGCGAAGCCATGCACTCTCTCCCCTGTGCTCCCTCGCGTTCACTCGGTCCTTGTGGGTTTATGCCCCTTTCCATTCCTTCCGCTCCACTTGAGTGCGTTTAGCGAAGTCGTCAGTCTTCTCGTTTGCGCCAGAAGTCACCTCCTTCAGTCTCCAGCCCGCCATCTCTCCCCCCAAGCCATGCAAGCCATGACGTGCGCCCATTCTTCAGTCTGCGAGCCGATCAAAGAAAAGCTCGAGTCCTTTCCCTTCCCAAGGGTACTTGCATCATTTCCTTAGGAAGCACTGGATGACAAAAACTAGTCCGGCTCCAGGAGAGAAGTTTGTAAAGCGGAATTGCCGCCTGCCAAGAGAGAAGTTTGGGGAGCTGGGCCCTTCGGTGGCACCCTTCCCATTCTATCTGTTCTGGAAGTGTGAGGCCGGCGGGGGGAATCCTCCCGCTACGAAGGGGTTAAGAGTCAGCGGGCAGGAAGAAACAGGAGGGGAGGCGCGGGGGAGAAGACAAAGGAAGGCTAGTCCCTTCCATGACTTGCTAAATATAACTGTTAAGTAATCTGCAGTCCCTTGGGGTCATTCTCAGAGGAGGAGTTACACGGGGAAAGACGTGGTTGCTTGCAGTTCCAGGTCAAAGGTATCCCGGAGAAGGCACCATGGCCACATTCTTCCGCAGTTCAGGGCCTGACTGCCGCGTCCTCACCGTTTTCGGGTTTCCCACGGCGTGGTCCCAGGCGCAGGCCTGCCCTTGCCTGCCGCCCGATAAAGATCCCCGCTGGCCTCCGATAACTTTGATTGAGGGCCTGCATTCTGCTCAGTTCCTTATCTGAAGAACATTCTTGACTAACACAAGGCAGATTCCAGAGGAGTGCTGTTGTGGACGGACGTCTCTGTCCACCACCGCGGGGCGGCCCCAGGCTCTGCTCCCCCTGCCCCCTCAGACCGAGCCAGGCCGCTTGTGGGGGCATTTGGGCGGACCTAGGCTGGGGCTGCTCCTGGAACACTCCCGTGTCCCCTGCCCTGTTTATTCACAGGGGCAGCCAGAGGCCTGGGCCGCTTGTGCAATGTTTGGTGAGGGTGCTGAGCGTGGACCCTGTCAACTGAAAACATGTTCTCTGTTTAAAAAAAGAACAGCAGAAAGAAAAGCTGTTGGGCACGGGGCACAGGGAAGGGAGAACTGGATCCAGAGACCAGTTATATTTCACAGGAAAGGAAAAACCCCTTCCGATCTTTGGAGAGAGCTTTTTGTACCCTCCGAAGAGGTCTTAATAACATACTATTCCCTTTTACGCCGGCCCATTGGTTCTGTTTATGAAAGAAAGCAGACATTTTTCCTGACCATGCGTTTTATGGGAGAGGATTGTTGTCACACACGCACATGAGCACGCGCGCACACACACACACACACACACACACACACACACACATTTTCTAGGACAGCCCTAGGCACTTTGCAAACCCAGCCTGGAGGGGACTGACTTAGGTTATGGTGCTTTGCTCTGGGCACTCTGTTAATTTGCTATCCTAAAGCGTTTCAACTGCTTTCCTGAGGCCTCAAGTCACAAGGCGCTGCGGAATGTTCAGAAGGGTCTGGCCTACTCTTTTTTCATATGGTGGCCTTCCCGGCAAGGGCAGCCAGCCCTGAGCTTTCTTCTTTGACCATCACCTCCTCTCAGTCACTCCCCAGCAGCAACATGACCTTGTGCTGGTTAAGTAAATCGAGTCAGTAGAACTCCCCAGCTCCCAACAGCAGGGCTTCTCGAAGTCCAACAGGCACAGTAATTGCCTGAACATCTTGTTAAGAATGCAGGTTCTGAATCCGGTAGCTCGGGTCGGGTGTATGTGTCTGAGAGCCAGCATTTCTAACTAGATTCTGGGGAACGCCAGTGCTGTGGTCCAGACAACACTTTCAGTAGCAAGGCCCCACGGGACGTTGTTATAGAAACACAGAACAACCCAGGCACGCCACCCTCCCTGCCCCCCTGCCCCCTAAGCCCCCACCTGGCTTTGTAAGGCTCCTCTTCCCCTCCAAAGACTTGGGGTCTCCCAGCCACCCTGGTGATCCTGGTCTATAACCCTATCTTCATAGTACTGAAGGACTGAGTGACACCATGCACCTTGCCTGCCTCCTGCTTTCCACTGGAAGCTTACTGAATCTCTAATAATAGTGTTAGTATCTCACTCAACTCTGTGGCAGGTACTATGCTAATTAGGTACTCCCTGTCCGTTAACGGTCACACTTTGGCGATCCAGGTAAGACCATCAAGGCTCTGAGAAGTCAAGTAACTTGCCAAAAATTGCACAGCCAAGGGGCGATAGAGCTGGAGATCCTAATCATTGCACCGTGCTCCTGGCCCATTAGTGATGCGGGGCACAAGTGCCATGAGGGGTCTGAAGACTGGGCCGCCTTCGTGGACTCCTGGCGCAGCTCTGGGACCTGTACCAAATTTCCCCCATTATAGGAGGCTACCCTTACCAAACAGAACTCCATGCCTCTGGGGCCACCTTAAAGCCCTGCCATGTGGGTTTGAAAAGGAGAGAAACAGGGTTATCTTATATCCATGCTGCAGGGAGAAGACAAAAGGAGCAATAATCTTCAGGTCATGAGGCTTTGGAAATAAGCCATAAAGGGAAAATGGGCTTATCTCCTAAGGTGGTCCTCAGATAACCTTTGCTACCACGTTGAGCTCCTAGTCAGACCTGACATTACTTTTGTTTGTTTGTTTGTTTTTCCAGCAGACCAAATAAGAGTCAGGGAAGCATCTGTTTGCTCTAGAATCTTCTACACTCAGCCGCCTACTGCAGTGATCAAAAAGGGGGACGCAGGCCCTCTATCTCCAAACATAGCGAAGGTCCAGGAAGCCCTTATCTTGCACGTGCATGCGCGCGCACACACACACACACGTATGCCCATGAACACACACGCTTGATTTGCTAAGCAAATAAAGGTCTCAAGGTTTGGAGGGGAAATATATACCCACTTGTGAAAATAATCTTTAAAAGAATTCTGGGAGACTCCATCTTCCTAGATCTGCTTCCTTGCCATTAACGTGACTCTTGAGCCACCTCTCACTTTGTTAAACTCACTATGGACAATTATCACCGTGCTCATCTTTGCTCCGCGCATTCTTACCCCTCTACGGCTCTGTGTGAGCTCTCCTCAGGGCACCCGGGGAGGCCAGTCATCTCTTGGAAAGAAACCGTCCCATATCCTTCATCTTTACTTCAGATGCTCCCTTCCTTACCTCACCTTATTAAAAACCTGACTTTATCTGGAGGACGACACTGTCCCCTCCCCACACAGCATTCCAACACATACCCGCTATCTCCCCCCTCCCCCATTCCGCACTGACAGACCTTAATCCTCTCCCACAGCTCTCTTTCCTGTCTCTGGCTTCCATCAGCCACTCTCAGGGAGCTCGGTGGAAGTCCACACCATTCTGTCTGCTCACCTTTCCCAGTCCTTCCTGTCTACTACTGTCCAGGATGGTCTTCACATGTCCCAGCCTCTTGCTCCTCCCTCTTCTAGAAACATCTATAGATATCTCCTTCTTACAGTTCCTCAGCCTTCTCAGGTACAGAGACCTCTATCTCCACTGATTTTATGTTGTCAGGACACGAACAGATCATCATACAGAACGGCCGCAGCCCCCCACCCCCTGCCCATTCTAGAAGCCTGCAATTCTCCTTTCAGCTCTACAGGATCTCACATTCCCTTGATGCCACTGAACCAATGGTCCTATTACTGCCCTTCTCACTGTTTTCTGAGTGTCTTCCTGGCTCTATCTGCATCCTTACCCAGGCGTGACTTCCCACTTTCAAGCCACACAATCCCCTGGGTGGGCCATTCCCGGCTTCAAGCATGTCTATAAGGTTCTCCCTGCAACATTCCTTCGATGTTTCCCTTTCACAAATTTCATGAGGTCCCCACTCAGGGTAACCTGTACCCTGCACTTTCTACTCCTCTCCTGCAAGCCCACCGACTGAGGAGGCTGGTCACTGGTTTTAGTTCTCGTTCCTATTATTTAACCTCAAGGAAGACTTTGGCGGCCCTTGGAAGTGCTTTGCTCACTTTGGACCCCTTCTCCTACCCCTCACGGAGCCCCTTGCCGCCTTCACTTCACTCCCTGGGTTCCCACCCATCTCTGCCCCCTGCTCTCCTGAGATCCTTCTTTACTGACAATATTGGAATTATCTGCCATCGTTGGGAGTTTCCTTCCTTGCCTTTCCACTCCCTGTCAACCTTCTCCTCATTGAGCATTTACTGTTTTCAGCTCAGAACACTGCAATAAGCTCCTAACTGCACACCCCCATCTTTTCCCCCTTTCCAACCCAGTGTTGGAGGTATTATCCCAAAGACCACATTCCTCTCTTGCTTAGAAGTCTTCAGGTTTCCCCCATTGCTGCTAAAGGATTTGACCTGCCAGGCGTGGCTGTTTTCCACCCATGCCCCATTTTGTCTGACAACTAAATCTTTGCTCCTGTCATTTTCCCTGTCTCGAGGGCCTTCTCTCCCTCATTGCCACATGATCCAATCTTATCTTACCTTAGAGGCAAGCTCAAAAGCCATCTCAGACAAGAAGTTGTCCCTAAACCCTCCTGCCGGAAGAGATTACCTCCCACCTCTGCTTTCTTGTAGCTCTTAAATACTCTTGCAACATTTATAACTTCCCACCCTGTATTATGGATGACACACAAAGCTGGGAGCTCCTTCAGGGTAAAAGCCCCCTAGCAACAGCACAGCACCTGACACACCCTGTTGGGCTATTCCAGATCCTTTATGACAAATGGCAGGAACACAGCTAACAGAGGCAAAAAAGAAATCATTAGATAAACGCGCAGGGCAGATCACACAGCTGTAGGAAGTACAAGGAACAGCGGGGCCTCCGGGAGCTAAGGGCCTGAATTCAACCACACACAAGCTCTACGTCTTTACTTCTCTCTACGTGTTGGATCCATTCTCCTGCTGCAGTCAAGATGCCTCGGCGTGGCACCGAGAACTCTCAAGATTCACGCACAGGCTTCCGCCTCCAAAGAGAGCTTAGATTTCCCAAGTTTACGTTTGAAATAAATCTTAGAGAAGTACTCTGATTGGTCCCGCCTGGGTCGAAGGGTCTGCCCCTGGACCAATCAGCGGTGGCCAGGGGATTGGATGAACTCCGTCTATTAGGAGCTCACTCTTGAGTTCTGGAGCCCTTTTTAGAAAAGAGGAATCTTCCTGAGCCAGGGAGGCAGCCCAAGAATTATAGCAGGCATGTGTCCAATAACTTTATAACAAACATGTGTTGTTAATATTTATATTAATGATGCGAATTATGCAGTAGTGCCGTAAAGAGGTAATCACCACTTAGGGTGGTTGTCGTTTTAACCATGTACCTTATTCTTACCTATCCCTTAAAGCAGGACTTTTAATAGTTCCGCTTGGCCAATCTAATTCCAGTTAGAATATATACTTACAGGAAATTGATTCCTTAAAGGACCTTTAGAATCACACTTTCATCTAGGTAGCTCACCTCCAACTAAAATGGGTTGATGAAGTTTCCAAGTGTATATATCTGGCCCCCAACAAAAAAATGGCATCAAGCCCAACTACACTTTTTTATTGTTGAACAAATTCTTCTGTATATTGATCCATTTCCTCTCCTCCGCCTTCACCAACGCCCTGTGTCTTGAATCCCAGCATTTGTGGATTTGCTATATGGAGAGCATCTTTTTTCCTTTGCCTACGTTGGTCATTATTCATTATGAAGAATTATGGACATATCCCTCAAGATTGGCTTTGCTGGCATGGTCCCTTACGGCCAGGGCTGTGTGACTCAGATGGGAAGGTATGTCAAGGATGAGGGGATTTTTGTCACTTTGAGCTTTTTCACATTTTGAGATCTTTAATATCCAGAGTAGTCATGTTGACCCCTTTTATCAATATCACCTCCACTGAAAGTCAGTAATAAATGGATTACCCAGAACCTCTGGTTCTCAAGTTCTTCAGAGCTGGGGCTGGTGATGGGGTGGGGGACGGCACAAAAAATCTTTTATTTCAACTGAACACTATGGCTAGGGGAGAAAAGGTGTGATGAGATGTAAGAATAGGAGAAAGTGGGCCTTTAATGCTTTACACAATAGCCGAACATCTATATGAAAAGGAGATTAATTTATCCAGATGACATGCAGATCAACTATCTAAACAATAAACTGAATGTTTTTTCCATAGATTTGGAGTCACTAGATTTAGCAAATAAAGACATAAGATGCCCAGTTAAATTTAATTTGAGATAAACAATGAATTTTTTTTAGTATAAGTATGTCCCGTGTAATACATAGGACATACTTATGCTAAAAACTATTTGTGGTTTATCTGAAATTCCAATTTAACCAGGTGTCTTATATTTTTACCTGGTAATTCTATTTAGATTAAATATTCTGGCCTTGTGTAGACACAATCTAAATTTTATTTTTAATCCAATACTCATTTTTTAAAGATATTATCCACAGAAATGAAGCCCTTCCCATGGCTCATCTACCTTTCCACCATCTTTGAAATGGAAATTTAGACTGCCCTTGTCAATTTAAAACTTTCTTCTAAATGGCCCACACCCTTAGCAAGGAGCCCTAAAGCATCATAGTTTAATCAATAGATAAATTGAGTTAATGCTCTATTCTGTTAGTATGCACACTATTAATTCGATTGTTTCTAATTTTTTTTACACCTTCACCCACCTTTTGTTTTTATGGTTTTTTTTCATTTTTTATTGTTATGTTAATCCGCAGCATCACAATTCTGGACTTCCAGCTCTATTACAAAGCTGTCATCATCAAGACAGTATGGTACTGGCACAAAAACAGACACATAGATCAATGGAACAGAATAGAGAGCCCAGAAATGGACCCTCAACTCTGTGGTCAACTAATCTTCGACAAAGCAGGAAAGAATGTCCAATGGAAAAAAGACAGTCTCTTCAACAAATGGTGTTGGGAAAACTGGACAGCCACATGTTTCTAATTTTTTTTTTTTTGGCAGTTTTATACCTTTTTTTGACCATCAGCCGTTAGTTCTCCTCCACATTAACCGTCTGTAGATTTTGGAAAGTGGTGACAGGTACACAGGTAGCCAACGTATAAAGCTTCTTTGGTGAATCTTCATCCATTACGTTCTTCTGGACAACAGCACATGAATATGGTATGGAACATTCCTTACTCCTTTGGCCCAAACAGCTTTGTTGAGCCCGCTATCAATGCACACATCTGGAATTCCCATGTCCTCCATGGCAAATTTCTGGATCTCTTTGAGTGCTCGAGGGACACGCTTCTTGAAACCCACGCCATGGATGTGCTGGTGAATGTCGATGTGTATTCTCTGGTCACGACCTCGTCGATGGCAAAATGGCCCTTCTTCTCACCACCCTTCTTTGTGGGAGCCATTCTGCCTGGCCCTGGTTGGAAAAGCTCATTGCCTCTAATTTTGAATACACTGTAGTGCTTAGTCCAGCATCAGAACATGTGGTAAGAACTACATAGAGGTGATGCAGTCATCTATTCACGGACTGCTTGTCAAGTACAAATTTCACATGTTGCACTTTTCTAGGCTCTACAAGGTGCACAAAGATATATGAAATTCATTCAACAACTCTTTATGCAAAGTCTACTGTGCCAGGCCATTAGTCAAGGTGGTAGGAGTGCTACAGAGTTCCCGCTCTTGAGGGACTCTGGTCACTGAGGAAGAACACATCAGATAAGGTGGTAAAAAGAGCCAAGATCCCCAACCCCAAGGGATATGCTGTTCCACTAACTACCAGGGTTTTGGTTTCACTGAATGGTGTATACAAACTGGTTAAATCCTGGCTTTCTTAAGATAACAAAGATAACTTTTAAAGTTGGGTGGGAGAAAAGAAAGAAGAGAAAAGAAGCAACGGGCAGAGGTAGGCTCTTTGGTAGGACGGGGAAACATGGCTGATGGGGTAACAGATGAAGTTTCCGCTTGGTGATATGTATGGGATGTGACCCCTCTTTCACAGGCTCCAAAGAATCTTCACTAGAACACCAGTTTTCTTATTAATGTGTTGTAGTATTAGATGTGTTTTAGAGGATATGACATAGTGGTGAGTAGGGCCTCAAAGCGAGTGTAAAGGAAGAGCCAAGGCTCCCCGTGGGAGGCCTACCCCATCTGGGGTACATCCTGGGGATCCTCATCTTGCCTATTTGATGTAAGTTAAAGAATCCAGCTGCATCTTAGGTTGTTGTTCTTAAGAAGACAACTCACCATCCGTGCCAGACATTTGGATTTTTGTGTAACGGAGTGAAGATACTTCTGGCATGAGCCGCAGTGGTTCTTGGCATCAGTTAGGTTTCTTTTGTTTCAAGCGAATCAAGACCAATTAGGCAAGGGGAAAAAAGGAGGATGTGGGGGAAGGGATTGGTGGCAGAATGTATTAGAGACACGTGGGAGAGCTTACAGCTAGGAAGAGCTGACCAGCTAGGTCTTGAGAAAGACAGGGGACAGGGACCAGGGGCCTCCCCCAGGGACCTCAGCGGCCGGAGCTCATGGATATTTTGGGGGCTGCTTCTATCATGTGTTTTAGCCCTGTTTACTTGTCATCTCTGTTCATGTTTTCAACTTCCTGTGAGAGAATTTGATTAGTACAGCTGGAGTCAAGAGCCTCTACTCTTTGTGGCAGAATCATCTGAGTTGGCCAGTCTCCTCTAGTCTCCTCTTTTCATGTCTTCAACATATATCAAAACTAGATGGAAATGGTGTAATCTTGGATGCTTATACTGTGTGTCCTTCTTTTGGTTTCACTGAGTCTTAAATTATTCCATCTCTCTGACACACACTAATTTGGAAGTTATATGCACTTTGCTGGGCGCCTGGGTGGCTCAGTCGGTTAAGTGGCTGCCTTCGGCCCGGGTCATGGTCCCAGGGTCCTGGGATCGAGTCCCGCATCGGGCTCCTTGCTCAGCAGGGAGCCTGCTTCTCCCTCTCTCTCCCTCTGCTTGTGCTCTCTCTGTCAAATAAATAAAATCTTTAAAAAATATATATGCACTTTGCTTCTACTCTTTTGATGGTTACCCTAGAAAATTTCCAACTTGCACCCGTAACCCACCAACGTCTAAGTTAATCAATATCTTTACTCTCCTCCCAGGCAATACAAAAACCTTAGAATGCTTAAACTCCATTCCTCCTTACCTACTTATACGTTGATTTTTTCATATATTTTAAATCAACCTTTAAAACACAACCAAAAATTATGAATTACGACTTTATGTGGTCAATGTTCATTCGCCTCTGCCATTTGCTTTGCTCATCACTCTTTTTGGATCTCAAACATTCCATATAGGATCTTTTATTTAGTTTTTATTTTTTTGTTCTGCCTCAAGTACATCCTTTAGTATTTCCTTTAGGAGCTTTTGTTAGTGATGAACTAACCATGTTTATTTCTCTGGAATATTTATTTTGTCCTTATTCTTGAAAGAATTTTTCCCTCCCACTGGCTAAGACAAAAATCTAGGTTGGCAAATTATTTCTCAGTGCACTGAAGCTCTCTCACTCTTTTTCTAGCTTCCATCGTTTGCTGTTGAAAATCTGCTGTCTGCGGAGCTGCTGTTCCTTTAAAGGCAATCTTTTCTCTCTCTCTCTCT